ACAGCAGCTGAATCCGGGACAGCTGGGGTGCTGCCGGGTTGGTCCCGCAGCCCCGAGGGGCAGTGCTACTGGACCTACCCGGCAGCATTCCAGCTGTTCTGCCCCCTGCTTCCCGGATTCAGCGCTGGTCAGTTTTAGCAGCGGCTGAATCGGGGAAGCTGGGGGCAGAGCAGCTCCAATGGGGTCCAGCTGCCCGGAGCACTTCCGGGTTCCTGATGGTGCCGGACCATCAGGAGTGCCGGACCATCAGATGCCGGACCATCGGAGTTTTACTGTACTTTCTCTTTCCCCTCTCTGGACAAATGGTGTGACTATATTTCAGCAACCAAAGCCACTTCTGTGCTAGGCTGATGATATTGGCAAGGTCCCCATTGGCTATAAAAACAAAATATGTGCTTACTATATTGGGTCCTTTTTCCTTCCCTGTTTTTTAAGAGATAGATTCTTTCTTTTCTCTGTTGGCAACCTGTTTATTCCCAACCCATACAGCTCACACTGCTGGTTTTCCCAACTCATCCACATTGTGTTCAAATCCTAAGGAATCCTTTTCTTCTGCCTAAGGTGCATGCCCTCCTGATTTCCAGTGTCTTCTCCCAGTCTTTCACCTCTCAGTGCTACATTTCAGTTCTGTTCTTCAATACATCTTGCTCTCAACACCATCTTCCAGTTTATAGGTTCTCCTTCCCTCTGTAGCGGTTGAACCTCACTCCTACTGTATCCCATTCCTAAGGAGTGTGTAGAATCAGCAGGGCTTGACAAATAATGCAGTCTACTCGCCCATGGCGAGTAGATTGCAACCCAGAGGAGCCAGGTTTGGGTGATCTGTGCATGCGCAGATTTCCCAGGCACACTTACATTTCCCAGGCAAACTCCCCTGTTGGCTGCTGCCTAGCCCACACCTCACCAGGGCCTTCCTTTAAATGGCAGCTGCTCTGTGCTCTGAATTCTGGGGAGGAATGGGGGAGGTTCTCTAGCAAATAGAAGCTGAAAAGTTTTGCTGGGGGTAGAGGCATCAGGTGACGCCTCCCTCAAACCCTCTTGCCCGGAGCAGACCCATGTGGAGCAGCCAGCCTGACCATCCTGGGACTGCAGCGGAAAGGAAGAAAGCCTGCCTCAGGTTCCTGCAGGTCTGCTGCCTGGCCTAGCCACCTAGTTAAAGTACCTCCCAGCCAAAACCTGCCTCTGGCATCCTACTCCTTCTCTCTCCCCAACTACCTGCCCCAGGTCACCACCCCTTCCTGCTCCAGGTCACCATCCAAACCATCTGCACCCCATTTCCCCTCTTCTTGCAGGCCACAATTCCCTCCCAGACACTGCATTCCCTTGTAGAGCCCTTC